GCCAAAGTCAACGAAGTCACAGACCAAACGATACAAGAAGCCACGAGAAAACGTAATCAAAAAACACAAAAGCAACAACAACAACAGTAACTTCGATTTTCGAACAAGTCGACTGAGACGCTGGCAGCAGCCCGCAGCAGCAGCGGCGTCGGCGGCGGCGGCATCGGCATCGCATACACAGACAACACCTTTTGATCCCTTTTCGCTCCCACTTTGCGCTCGCTGTCTGACCGAACGAACACGCGCGCTTGCGCTCTCTATCTCTCTTACACGCTGTTGCGCACTCTCCAACACTATTGCCTATTACCGTCGCGGCTGCGACGTTGACAGCGTCTGCGCGCACCTTACAGGGTGCTTTATATTTGGCTTTTATTGATGTCGCTGTTGCGTTACGTTAAAGCCTGGCTTAGAGCGCAGTGTTGCATTTTATGCATTTATAATTACTTCTGTGTAGTAGAGCTATAACTGGTACTTACATATTTCTTTTGTATGCAGCTGTCCGCTGTCCGCGCCAGTCCACAGGTAAAAACGTAACGTAATGTAGTTGTGTTGTTTTATTGGAATTTTGGCACTACAATTCCTAAGGATCGATCACTATGGCACACTATCACTGGAAGGCGGCAGCGCTGGAAGGCGGCATGTTCGAAAAAGCCAAACAAAAACCGACAAAAAAAAACACACACACACACCGTTAATGCTGTGTATGTGTGTGTGTGCTGCTGCTGCTGCTGGTGCCCGCTTAATTCGTGGCTGACTGCTGGAATTGTTGCTGCTGTTGTTGTTGTTGTTGTTGTTGTTGTTGTTGTTGTTGTTGGTGGGTGCACCTTTCGCCACTTTTGCGCTGCTGTGGTATGCGTCTTGGCTCAAAGCCTGGCTGCGAGCTGTGTGCTTTGGCTTTTTGAGCTTCTAATGTGCGACTCCTTGGCCTCTTTGTCGTCGGAGTTGAATGTTGTTGTTGTTGTTGTTGTTGTTGCTGTTGTTGCTGCTGCTGGCGGGCGTCTGTGCATTTTGGACAGACTCACGCACACACACAGGCACAGTCACAGGCACAGGCACTAACACGCACACTGAGACACACACATGCACAGCTCACAGCATTAACATTTGATTTGCGTATTTTGCATAAAACTTTTTTAATTGCCACGACGTACACGAAACACGGCTGCGTAGCATGCGGGGGCGGCGGCGCTGGCGGTGTCGGATGCGCGCAGCATTTGCGTCTCTCTGTTGTTGTTGCTGTTGCTGTTGTTGCTTTTGCTGCTGTTGTTGTTGCTTTTGCACTTTTGTTGTTAACAGTTTATACATTTTTCATTGTGAGCGCGCCTTTATGGTTGTTTAGTATATTTAGTATTTTGTATATACAAACGCACACACACACACACACATACATACGTATGCCTGTTTGTATGTGTATGTGTGCTTGGTTTACGCGCTTTTTTCTCAGCGCGTTCGCCTTTTGTTGTTCTTTGCTTTTGCTTTGTTATTAATCACAATTTTTATTTTGAATTTTATTTCTGTTGCTCAGCTTTGATGGCGTCTCGTTTTGGCTCACACAGATACACAAGCACTCACACACACGCACGCACACACATGCACACGCAGCAGCGGGCCCGACAGAGCCACACTCATGCACACACACACTAACTCACACACACACACACATGCACATACACAAGCAATCACACACATGCACACGCGAAACGAACGCGAACGAATTCTGTGTGTGTGTGTGTGTGTGTTTTTTTTCTACGTTTCTTTCTGTATTTTATGTTTTTTTCTTCTTCTTCTTTTCTACTTCACTTAAATATCACAAATTTTCGCAGAGTTTTTCGACTGTGCTGGCAACTCTGCTGACGCAATTTTTGTTAATAATTTGTTGTGCGTTTGCGAATGTACTTTTTGAGGAGCCAAAGCAAAAATGTGTAACTCGCCTGCACGAAAGGTACGAAAAACTTGTCGCGGATGAACGTTGAGCTCGGCTATAATGCCCAAAGAGTCAATTGGAGATTGTTCAACTGTTGAATGTGTTGTTGCTGCTGCTGCTGCCGTCGCTGCGGTCGGTTCGGTTGCGGCTGCTGCTGCTCTGCTGCGCAGTCGCTGCTCGCCTTCTCTCTCTCTCTCTCTTTTGCTCTCTATGTGTGTGTGTGTGTGTGTGTGCGCGCGCGCCTCGTGTCTGTGCAGGCGAGCACAGGTGATTGTCTGTGTGAGAGAGCGTGCATGTTGCTCGATTATTATTGCTTTTTATGGTTTCATCTCTTTCGTAACTGATATTGAGCGAGGCGTCGCAGTCGCAACCGCTGTCGGCGTCGACTGCAGCAGCGGCAGCGGCCAGAGCGAGCGAAACTCAAATTCATCGATTCGATGATGATGTTGTCTCTACACTGGCAACACAGACACGCACACAGGTAGCAGCCAGTGTCCGTCCGCACGTACTTTTGTCCCTGCGCCTGCGCCTGTGCCTGCGCCTGCCGCTGTGTGCACGCACCTGCATAGCGCTAGTGCCGCGTTTTCCAGGTACGCATTTATAACTGTGTGCAATAACCAATGACTCAGGCAACGAACTCGCTTCGACTTTGGTTCGAAACTTGACTAGCCTAGCCTACAGGCGCTCACGCAAGCACACAGCATATGCTAGATGGCGCCTTCAATTTACAGTTCGACGAAGCGCATTTCGCATTGCCCGCTGAACCGGCCCTGGTCATTTTGCGCTTTTGTAGCTTTCTGGTTCATTTTGTGGCGTGCATTCATTTTCGAACTTTCGAACATTCGAACACGCCGTCGCGTTTTTTTGTTTTGCTTGTTGCTTTTGTTGCTGTTGCTGCCGCTGCCGCTGCGCAGCTACTGCTGCTGACTTACAGCGCCAGCGCGCATTGTGAAAGTGGTAGTGCAGTTGGACACCAGGTAGAGCCAGCGGTAGAGAGCTGCCTGCACGCATACCAAGAGAGAGAGCGAGAGAGCGAGAGAGAGAGAGAGAGAGACACACACACATGCACGCACACGTAAAATAGTTATGCATGTAGCACAAATGAATGCCATGTAGCCGTCGGCACAGACTCCGACGCCGCCTTACGACAACAGCAACAGCAACAACAACAGCAGCAGCGGCGGCGGCAGCGGCGGCGGCAGAATCAACGCTCTGTCGTGTAGACGGTACTGACTGTGTGTTGCCCAGTGTGCTTTTTGCCGTGTTTTCTGCCAGGCCGTTTACAGGGTGTCCGATTCATTTGTATAAAGGGAAATATGTATGCAGATATCTTAAATTCTTTTTGAATGCATTTTTCATTGAATTTCAGTTTTATTTTCATGTTGTTTATTGTTGCAATATATTAAATTTGTTTTAAAACTAAATGTATGCTTAGTTTAAACGTGTTTTTGTATTCATTTTTGAAGTTTTTGTATGTTTAAATTTTTTATAATCATTTTTTTTTTTTTTGGTTTTTTTAACTGGTCGAAACTTTTCACTAATACTTTGTTTTTGGGTTTTTTTTTGCGATTACATTTACATTCATGTATTATATAGTATATATATTTATATATATGTAAGTATATGCATGTGTGTGCGTGCGTGTGTGTGTGTGTGTGTGTGTGTTTGCGCGTTTGTGTACCTTAAAAAAATAACGTAAAGCATATAATATTGTTTTGTGTTTTTTTAGAAAATTAAAACATATACACAAAAATAAATGTAGTGGTTTTTTTTTTAATATTTGGTATTTTTTGGTAGCCTAAAATTAAGTTAACAAACCATGGAAAATGACACTTGTTAAAGAACTGTCGATAATGCGTTTATCGCTATCGTTATCGCTATTGTTATCGATATTCGTATTCTATAATGCAAAAGGTTGTCGAATTTTCAATTCCAAGTAGCAGCCTGAGCGACGTAAATTCAATGAGCTTTTCGGATATTTCTTGTGGTATTTTTTGATATTTTCGGTATTTTTTGGTATTTTTGGTGTGTTCAGTATTTGTGGGCAAGGAGTGTGGCTCTGGTGGGGTGGGAGTGGTGAGAGGGGGAGAACAGAAGCTAAGGCCTATTGTAAGGAGGTTGTGGGTGTGTTGAGGGGGGGAGGGGAGGGGGGGGGGGGGGGGGGGGGGGGGTAAAGTGTAGCGGTAAAGCTAGTTGTTATCGCTCTGGAAGACGCTTTTTTTCACGCCCACGCCGCTCTTGTTTGTATGTGTGTGTGTGTGTGTGTGTGTGTGTTAAGTCTATTAAGTACATATGCATTAAAACTAGACACACCAACTAGCTAATAGCTACTAAAAACATTCTCTGATTTAACTGAGGTAACCATTTACTATTATTTTTATTTTGTTTTCTGTTTTCTTCCTTTTTCTTTATTTTTTTTGGGATCAAATACGAAACTTGTTGTGCTGTAAATCGTACGGCACGTGGATACGTCACCTGTTAAAACTCATGTTAACTTTTGCTCAATGTTTTGGTTTTTTATTTTAAGTTTATTTTAAATGTAATTCGACAACGTTTGCTAAAATTTAAATATTCATCTTCTACAGTAGTTTTATGTTCAGTTATAAAGCTTGCAACACGCCTGCAGAGTCGGACAATTTTAAGGTTATGTTGAACAAATATTGGGAAATGATATAAAAGATCTTTTGGCCAAGAAGAAGAGCGAAAAACTAAGCGTACGAATCTGTTTTTGAAGATCTTTTGCGAAAATGTTAAATATATTATTTAAAGTATGGAAATAAATATCGGAAGTAAGCACGCTCGAGATCAAGAAAATTTCAAATATTTTTTTTTATGTGTCAAAAATACAGAAAAAAAAATATAAAATATATAAGTTTGATATATCCGAGAGTCGGGAAATTTTAAAATATATTATTTTTGTATATCAAGAGAATTAAAAATATATATATTTTGGTATATCGGAAGGTCAAGAAAATTTCAAATATGTTATTTTGATCTAAATCAGAAACTCAAGAAAACTGAAGATCTATTTTTTAAGTAAATCATCAACTAAAGAACATTCGAAATATACATTTTCGATAACTCCAAAAATTTAAAATATATATATTTTTAATATATCGAAAAGGACATATAAGGAGCATACGACTCGCACAACTACATCAAATTCATTTACAAAAAAAATGTATATACTTGAGTTCACATTGCTTTAAATTTCTCAAATTTACTATCTCTTTACTTGTGTTTAATTTGATGGCATTTTATTAGAAAACCAGCTCTTGGTTATTTTTTTAAAATTCTTTTACCCTCTGCAAGAGTATTCAAGCTTCGGCATGCCAAAGTTAGTTTTACATTTATGTTAATACTGACTGTTGAATGCAGAAAAACTAGCGCGCGCCTCAGCGTGTGAATTTTGGCGGTGGAGGGGGGGAGGTGGGTGTGTGAGGGGGAGGGGGAGGGGTTGGGTTTGGGGGTGGGGGGCAATGTATGAAGGGGTTTGCAGTATCATCTTGATAAGCCCAGCCCGCAGTTGCCAGTGTATAAGTGTGACTGTGTGTGTGTGTGAGTGTGTGTGTGTATAGTGTGCGGATAGTAAACGCAACTGCTTTGTGTGTGATACATATACACATATATATACATATAATATATATGATATATCTCTTGCGGAGTTGGCAGTGATATTGCGAAACGTTTTGTTGGTATTAATTATTTTTTGTTTTTGTTTTGTTTTTGTTGTTGTTTTGTTTTTTTTTTGTTTTTTTTCGATTTGAAATCAATGCGTTATCCAAATAAAATACTTAGTAATGCGCACATAGTTAAGTTTCGTACGCGTTTTCCCCTTTTTTGGGCTCGATTATAAGAACTTTTTGACATTATTGTAAATGATTTAGTTTATGTGTTTTTTTGTTTTTTTTTTTTTTTCATTTTCTTTAAACAAATGTACAATAAATATGTAATCTATAATTTGTTTTTATGCGTTATAAACATTAGACACAATCCAAATTGTCTTGATTCCGAGTTCGTATCTCTATTTAAATAATATTTGATTATTATTTGTTAATGTTTTTTTTTTTTTTCATTTTCATTTTTGTTTTGTTTTGTTTTTTTTTTTTCAAATCTAACGAACTGCAATGCCATGTCACAACGTAATCGCAACTAAATTGCTAAATTTAATTTAATTTAATTTATTTTTTGTTTGTTATTTTTTCTTGTTGTTGTATTTTGTATATTTACAGAATGCTTCGATGTCGCTATCCGTACATATATATATATATACACACACACACACATATATATATATATATATATATATATATAGATGTATTGTATTGTACGATCTAAAATGTTTTGAAAACTAATTAAGTATAAATGTAAGTAATACGTTTAAAAATGTTGCGTTTTGTTTCTTTTTTTTTTTGGAAAAAGTATTTGCGTTAAAGTTGGTTTTCATTTCAATTTGATTAATAGTTCTTAGCATAACAGTTATTACAATATATATAGTATGCTAATTGCCAATCTGTTGTTGTAGCTTGTCGACTTTTATACATTTTACAATATTAACTTATAGTTGCTTAAAGTTCAAATATGGTAATCTTCGTAGAAATGCCGGCTGTAGTATGTTATATCTAAACCAAAACGGCGCTTCTTCTTCTCGTTTGCTTTGTTTTGTTTTGTTAACAACTAATTTGTATATAAATTGCCTAGTTTGGTATTTTGTTTTTGGTTTGTTAACGACTAGAACATTGTAAAGAAGGAATCGGTTTCACATAATGCATCATATATCTGCTAAGTATATATATATCTAGCTCCTCGCGCGCATCCTGGACTGTTGCCTTTGCCGCCGACCTTCGACCTCCGCCAGCCGTCCCGCTCTCTTTATATATTTGGCACACGCCAAATGGAATTGTATCAATTTAGTTTGTATGACATATTGCTTTGCTTTTCTTTTCATCTTTTTGTTTGTTTTTGTTTTTAGGGACAGCTGTACAGTCTGTGGACAGGCTGCGGAGCTAACCGGTAAATAAAAATAAAATAAATAAAAATATTAAATAGTCTAATGTTAAAACAACAACAAAATCAACAGAGCGTCAATTGTAATAACATAACATCTAAGTGGGACTATCCGCCTTGGAGCCGGCATTCGAATTGTCTTGCATTTGAGCGAGTGTCTTGAACTTTTGCGAGTTTAGGAATCTGCAATAAACACATCATATTATGATTATAATAAACCAAAATGTTATTTAACTGCGACCTACCTGGGATATGAGTCTCTGTGCATCAGCGTATAGATTTGGATTTGAGCCTCGTCGAAGGTGTGGGTCGTCGGCTCGATCATATTGCGATTGACAATCTCGCGTACTCGCGAATCGAGGGAGACCTCGCGCGGCGATAGTATCGATATATAGTCCTCGTATATAAGGCGCGCCTTCTCCTCGACCACCTCGGCGCTGTTCTCCTTCTTCAGATCCTCGCAGGCGAGCCAAAATAATATGTTCTCCTCGCTGAATTCGCTGCGCAGAAAATCCCGGAATACCTTGCGCCCATCTGCAATATATTTCCAGCATTAATAATCTTCAATTGAGATTCAAGCGGAATTGTCTAGAACTTACTTGAGTTCTTCATTAATTTATCAAAGCTTTTGCCCCAACTGCGTATTTCTTCTAATGTGGGTCTGTAAATGTGAGAAATGTTATTAGCGATAGCTTCTTTTGGGTATTATCGTTGGGCAAAACATACTGATCGCCATCTAGGAAATCGGCGCTAACGAGATCACGTTTGGTGGGCGCATTTTCATCGGCATTCTTGATGGCAAGACTGCGGGAAATACAATTTGAATTAATTTAGATAATTAGTGTATTGAGAAAATGTTGAAAATGTTGCAGAAAATGGGAAATTGAAACATGAAAATGCATTTAATTAAATTATAAAATAAATATAAATTTATAAATTAATTAAATACAAATTACAAACAATTAATAATATAATTATTAATTTGTAAATTCATAAAATAATTTATCAAATAAATATAAATTTATGCATAAATCAAATTAAAATGCTGTCTAAAAATGTCTACAAATCGTGAAAAACTATTTCCAAATATGTTAAAACAAATTCAAATAATATAGCTAAGACTATCCTCTAGCTAGATAATACTTGAGTTTTAAGTTCAAGTTAAAGCTCTTAGTATAAAAATCATATTGTAAAAATGTTATAAAAGCTTTTTAAAACTAAGCTTTATTTTATTAGATAAAAACATGAAAGAAAAGTACTTTAAATTATATATAAAAACATTTACAATAATTACAAATTGTTTAGTTAGAGATTAAAATCAGAATAGCAGAGCATGTGCTTTAATTTGTTTAAAATTTGCACATCCACATTGCAAACTTTTGAGCTTAATTACATTATTCTTTCATTAATAACAATTTTGTTTGGTTTGCATAGATTTTGATAAGATTTATCAACCAAGTATTCTCCATAATGCGGAAATCTCTATCTAATGGAAATAATGTTTACAATTTTGCCAAACATTTCAATGAAGTTTTCCCGTTATTTGCCTCCATAATCAATTCACACACACACACACACACGCACACATATGCAGCATATATATTTAAAGGCTATATTTAACTATCTTGAACTGAAATACGCTTTAAATTAGAAGAGTATACGTACAGCATACGTTTGGTTAGGCCCAACATTTTGGTTTTTGCTGCATTTGAAGCTTTTCGCTTTAAATCGTGTTACTAGTGCGAGCTTTTACTTAGTGTAATTGCGTTAAGGATCACTGATAAGCGCAAAAGCTTTCGGTACTTGAGAGACAGCTGTTTGAGCTGCTATCACAGTTAGTTGGCTGCGCTTGCGTTGCTTTTGTTGTTGCCAGCACAGTGGTTCACACAAAACTGGCCACACGTTATCAACGATTCGATCCGATTCGGCTGCCTCGTATCAGGTAAGCGTTACACGCACCCTACGTAGAACTCATCAAAGTTCGTTATCTGTTTACCCTGCTTGGACAGCTTGCCAATAACATGGCTATGTGCGAGTGCCTGTGTAGGTGTGTGTATGTGTGTATGCACAAGTACTCGTATGATTAAGTGCGTATAGATGGACAACAGCTAAGCATACAAAGGTGCGGGAGAAATGCCCACCCAAGCAAGAACAGCTTTCGTTTTCATTCACGAAAACTTTGCAACATTTTCGCAACAACAGCAACAGCATTAGAAGCAGCAGCAGCAGCAGCAGCAGCAGCAAGAGCCTTCAATTGTTTGATTGTGATTTTTGAAAAGTGCCCAACTGAGAGCTTTTGGCGCTCCCAAAATTGTGAATGGAACAGTTGTACGAATTGGCAAGAGCGAGATGGCGCGACAGAGAGAAAAAGCTTTTACTATTCGCCTAGCATAGAGCATTGCCAGCTGCGAGCAAACCAGAGAGAATGAGAGAGAGAGAGAGAGAGAGAGAGCAGGCAATGCCCCTGACTGCGTGGGTGCGTGTGTATGTGTGTGTGCCTGCGTGCGTGTGTGTGTGTGTGTGCCTAGGAACTTACCATTTAGCCCTGTTGTTGCGGTTGGACGACCCGTGGAGCAGCGGCAATGAAATAGATTCCGTTGAAATAGATGTTATGCATTTAACAGTTAACCCGCAGGTAATACTCACCAGGAGCAGGAACAACAACAGCACCAACAAAAGCAGCACGGCTTCTGCGACTGCGGCCGCTGCAGCGTCGCATTCGACTCCTGCAGCACGTTCGATGTGGCGCTAACGCTGCCCTGCAGCGTTGCGCTTGTGCCCGTTGTGCCGCTGACGCCCCCGATGCCCCCAGTTGAGCTCAAGCCGCTGCCAGGTCCGGCACCGACGCTATCCCCGTTACCGTTACCGTTGCCATTCCCGTTGTTGGCCGCTGCCGCCGCCGCTGCTGCCGCGCTCTGTGAGGATGCAGTCATGCCGCGCAAGCGACAGCCACTGGGCAGCTCGGAGACGGTGCAGGACATGCTGCAAGCAATTAAAATGTTGGATGAACAACAGCAGCCCTCCCCCACCAGACCAGAAGCACACCAAATTGGCCACACTTACCTGCCCTTTGCAAGTTCAAGTTGATGTTGGCGTTTGGCGTTGGCGTTGGCGTAGCTGCCACAGCTGGCGCTGCCGCTGGCGCTGGCGCTGCTGCCGCTGCTAGGCCGCCCACTGCCACTGACCTACCTACTGTCCGTCTCGTTCTGCCTCTCTCCCACTCTCAGCTCGCACTCCCACACAGAGCACACTCGGGGCTGAGCGTTGGCGTTGGGCGCCCTTTTTGTGAGCGAGCGAGAGGGAGAGCGTCAGAGAGCGCGCGCGGAAAAGAGAGCAAGTAACGTATTTATGTTTTTGCTAATAACTTTTTATCGAGTGCTTTTGCTTGTGTGTGCTTTCGACTCTCGCGCCTTGCACGCTCTTGCTGTAGTTCTAGTTGTTGTTGTTGTTGTTGTTGTTGTTGTAGTTGTAGTTGTAGCTGTAGTTGTTGTTTTTTTTTCGAATAATTCTTTTTTTTTTTAGTTTTTACATGCATGTGCAGAGAAATTTTCGGCTCTGCCTTTTGGGCGCTGCTTCGGTTCCTTTGATTTTAGTTATCTGCACACAAGAAGTTGGTGGCGGTGAAGGGAAAAGAGAAGCACAGAAAACCGTTAGGAATTTGATGAATTATTATTATGATTATTATTATTTAGTTGTTCTTGAAATGTCCGTTGGACGCGCTCTCACTTTCATTGGCGCTGCGTGGGGCAGGTGCGCTCAAATGGGTCGGGCTAAGGGACTGAAAAGGGGGGTTGGGGGGTACTAGTTTGTTGTTGCTGGCTGCTGCTTTCAGAATTTACACATTTGCGTTTACGTATTTACAGCGAAATTAGTTTGTAATGCGAAGCAATTGATACGGGAATTTCATTTAAAGTGTTATGAAATTCTTTGAATATACTTTTTTTTTTGCCTTTGCTTTTGGCTTTTATTCTTTTATTCCAGTGAGCAGCTGGAGATGAAGAATTGCTGTTGCTGTTGTTGTTGCTCGAAATTTTGTATTTATTTCTTGTGCTAGTCATTACACACACTCACACTTGGCACACATTGACACACACTTGCTCCATGATGGCGGCGTCGAGGTCGCCTGACCGTTATTTTCTTCTTTTCTTTTTTATATTTATTTATCGTTTTGGTTTGCGCTGTTTGGGGGCTGATGGGGCGTATGCGCGATTAGCTTGCCTTGCTGCTGCTGTTGCTGCTTGTTATTGTTGTTGTTGTTGTTGTTGTTGTTGTTTGTGTGTTGTGGCAGCTGCAGAGGGCAGCGCTGCTAATTGATGCACTTGATGCTGCTGTTCTTGTTTCTTGGCATTTATCACAGTGCAGCCGTTACATTTGCTAAAATATCGAACATTTTCCAATCGTGTAGGCTTCCGCTCTTATTTGTACACACACTAACACACACACACGCACACTGACAGTGGCACACACTTGATTTGATTTCGGTTTGGTTTGTGGTCTTCTCTATGTGTTTAGGAGCAACGAATATATACAAATTTTTTTGCCTGCCACACAGCCACACTAAAAATATGTGTAGGTATTTTTTTTTTTTGTTCGTTCTTTCTTTTTGCTCTGAATGATTTTGCTTTGATTCAACTTCTACACAGAGAAAGAGAGCCAAGGAGAGAGACTGCGAGTATGGTCCGAGGGGGGCTAGAGGTATTGGAGTGAGAGAGAGAGAGCGCGCGAGAGAGCGAGAAAGTAGTGCAATTTAGCTAGACACTTCGTTATATTTGATAATTACATTTGTGAACTTTTTGATTCTCATATTTTCGGATATTTGCACATTTTTTGGCATTTTTCAAGAGCTCAACAAAACACTTGCCATATTTGATTTTTTTTTTTTGGGTGGGGGGCTCTGGCTTTACCACATTATTGCTATTTCATTTTCACTGCTGCGCTTTTTTCTATACGTGTGTGAATTTCTTTGCTATTTTTTTTTTTCTTTTTTTCGTATTTGTGTGTGTGTGCGCGCTCTGATAGCCAAAACCCAAAATCCTCGACGACAACGACAACGACCGACGACGACGGCACGAGCACAAGTGCAAACGTTTCTCTTCACATGGGCAAAGGCTGGCGACTGACTGCTGATTGAAGGAAAAGCTCCCAAATAGCTGTACAGTTGTTGTTATTGTTATTGTTGTCGGTGGAGCCGATAGCGAGCCGATTAGATTCCTGGTACACATCGCGACATGTGCGCGCGAGTGCTTTTGCCAAAAGAGCTTTCGCTCCCGCTCTCACTCTCACTCTCTAACGGTGCCACTCACTTCACACTGGACTGGAATTTAGTTGGGATTTGTGCTTTTTGGCAATGCTGCTGCTGCTGCTTGAAAAAGAAAACTGTAAATCTATTAATGAGCAGCAGCAGCGGCAGCCTTGTTGTTGCTTTTTGTTTTAGTTTGTAATTTTACGCTCTTTCGCTCTCGCAGGCATAAACGAGCCCCGTGGAGCAGACGTCGGGCAACTGCTTTTTGGGAGGGTGGGTGGCAAGCCTGTCAGGGTTGTATTCAAGCTTTTACATGCAGGACTTAAAACGGAAAATATCATTCAATAAGATATATTGTTCACTATCTCAACTTTCACATACAAATTGAGCGCTTAAAACTAAATGTGCAACAAGCTGCACTCTTCACGTATAGAGCCTGATTGTGCAGTCGGCGCCTGTGGAGAAGACCCAAGGCTGCACCGGATGCCAGCTAACATCCAGGACGCCGAACTCGTCGCGTTTCTCGTGCGTCTGCAGCTTCTTGAGCGGCACAATCAAGGGATTTTGCAACAGATCACTAGAGAGGAGGACAGACAGATAAGTATGGGATGCATTATGGAGTATCCACTTGATACTCACTTGTAGACCATGCCATGGGAGACAATGACCGCCTGGTCATCGCTGCCCGATGCGAAGAGAGGATAGCGCAAATGGAAGGCCACGCTGCGCACGGCATTGCGATGCAAACGCATTGTCTGATATGGTTTCGTGGACAGATCCAGATCGAACCAAAGCATCTTCTTGTCATAGGTGGAGACCAGCAGATTGTCGCCCTTGGGATGTATGGACATGCCCGATATCCACTTGGAGTTGGTTAGCAGCTTCTTGATCAGCTCCTGCTTGACCAGATCGTAGATGCGTATATTGTGTTGGGTCTGCAAAGAGCGCACATGGATTATGTTGAACAGAAAGAGGAGGAGGAGGAGAAGGAGGTGGAGGACCTACCGCCACGAAGAAGCACGGTTTGACTGGATGGAAGAGCACGCACTGGATAAGGCCCTTGCTCTTGGAGAAGGGTATTTGCGAGCGTCGCTTGGAGAGCTGGTGTATGAGCGCCGAACGATTGGCGCCCTCGGGCATGACGGTGGCCAGATAATCGCCGCGACCATGCCAGGTGACCTGGCGTATAGGCTTAAAGTGTGTGATGACCACACGCACGCCCTTCTCCTGCTCCTCGGGCTCCGCATTGGACCACTGAACGGCCGTCTTGATGCGCTCGTTATCAATGACATCCAGGCTGGGCGATTCGGCGAGCAGATCATCCGTTTTCTTGATCAGCAGCTTGTCGCCCACCTTGGGATTGATGAGCAGCAAGCGACTGCCGGTGGCCACCGCAATAATAGATAGCTTGGCATTGGGACACCACGCCACGCAGCGTACCACGTCGTTTGTCTCGATGGTGCGGATGCAACGACCCGTGGCAATTTCCCAAACTGCAAAAAAGTGTGTAAATATAGAATAGGATCTATCCACAGATAAATATGGAAAACTTACTCTTGACCGTCTTGTCATCGGAGCCGGAGGCCATGTACTCGCCCTTGGGCTCCACGCTGACGGAACGCACCAGATCTGTGTGGCCGCGATAGACGAGACTCTCGACCGTGGGGAACGGCTGCAGATCGCGTGGCGAAGGCAGCTTGGGTATCAGATACTCGGCATCAATGTTCAGCTTGACGCGCTTGGCACGCGGACACAAGTACAGATCGAGGCAGCGCAGGAAGCGCTCCCGCAGATAGCGGGAATAGGCGGGCACCTCGCGCAGAGATTTGAATTTCTGTGGCATGAAGTGCAGCTTGCGCTTGTGCGGCTCATCCTTTTGCTTGAGCCACTCCTTGGTCTCCTTCTCGTCGAACAGATACTCGGGCGGTGGATTATAGGATTCGGCATGGCCGGGCAGATCACGCTTGGGCGCCGAGACGGGATCGTGTATGCGACGCATACTCTCCCGGCCGGTGTCCGTTTCCCATAGCATATAGAACTTTGGACCGCGCTTCTTTTGCTTTTCGCGCTCCACCTCCTCGGTGGTCTTCATCCAGCCCATTTTGAGGGCATGCACCATGCGCGATACCTTCTTCTTTTCCGACACCGACGGCAGGAAAGAACGCTTGTGATCGGGCACATTCTTGATGGGCATTTTCTCCACCTCCGATGTGAACCACTCGATCCATGGCGCGTACTCATCGTGCTCGGCATTGGGTATGCGTCCCGAGTTGACACGCTTAATCAGAGCTATATCCTCGTCGGTCAGCAACACTTCCTGGCCGGTCTGCGGATCCTTGACGGTGCGCCAGAAATTCGGATCCTCGATCTTGCGCAAAAAGTCATCGATTTGATCGCCCTTTGGCGGCTTAACAATTTTCTTGGCATCCCAGTCGTAGCCAATGTGCTTGTACTCGTCGTACCAGTGCATGGGTATGTTGCCCACTGTATTGCGTATATCCTCCTCATCAGAAGTGTCCGAGTCCTCATACTCGGGCTTTGAAGGATCACGCGGAATTATCTGAATGATGGGCTCCACTTTTGTCTGGCCAGCCGCTGTCTTACTGCTGCTGGGCTTCTCCTCTTTGGCATCATCGTTATCCTCGCTAGCTTCATCGGAGTCCTCATCTTCCTCGTCGTCGTCGTCTTCATCTTCCTCTGCATCGTCCTCTGCCTCGTTGTTCGCTTTTCTGCCCAAATAGTTGCCTTCTTCGTCGCTCTCAAACTCCAGATCTTCGCTGCTGTCCGATTGATATTCCTGATCTATGCCCTCATCATCAGTGGTATCCTCACCAGGATCTTTTACAGCTTGCAGCAGGTCCTGGCCAAAACACAAACATTAGAGTCCAAACATATATCAAACCTTATTTTAATGCTTACTTCATCCTCTTCATTGTCAGACGGCTCAGAAGCTGAAGATTGTTCATTTGTGGGCTCAGGTTCCTTCACTTTACGTTTTATTGCCTGTTTTTTAGTCATTTTAATGGAAAACAAAACGAATCAGCGCGGCGCACGTGTTGCGGCCCCAGTTTCGATGTCAAACAATTTATCGATAAATGCATTTGTTTACACTTTGTGTGAATGTTATATTTTCTCAATTTTGCGTTGCATGCTCATTTTTGCGCACCATTGCACAGCATTTTTATGTTGCTTATTCAAAATGAGCAAGGTGATTTCAAATTAAAATTAATTAGTAGCGTGCACAGTAAAAACAAAAAAGCAAATATATAAAAACTCAACACGCATTTGGTAAGACCACATATTTGTGTAAAGTCGTATAAGCGCAGGCTTACCGTACATTGCAATTAGCATCGGAAATGTTATTTGTGAGAGCAGGACAACAACATTGTGACCGTTTGCCGGGCTGCCATATCGCCGGAAACGCGTCATGTGAATAAATATTGAATAAGTACCTAAATAACGACAGAAACGTACAAGACTACACAACTCTGATGAGAATAAAAACTTAATAGAGCTTGCCACAAAAAAAAAATGTAAAAAGAGTGCTAAACTAGCACAGATCCTCTATATACATATTTAATAAACGGCGACAAGCTATTGCATCATCTAAAAAAGTCTACTTTCAGCCGCGAGTTCCATCGATTTGGAGCAATTATACACATTTAAAAGCGAAAAGAAAAAATGACTGCCCCGCGACGTCTGCGCAAGGAGCTCGTAGATTTGCAGGAAAGTAGTTTAAAATCGTTTCGTGACATCAAGGCCGACGATGATAATCTGCTGCGCTGGACGGGCCTAATTGTGCCCGACAATCCGCCCTATAACAAGGGCGCCTTTCGCATCGAAATCAATTTCCCGGCAGAGTATCCTTTCAAGCCGCCAAAGATTAGTTTCAAAACAAAAATCTATCATCCAAACATCGATGAGAAGGGCCAAGTATGCCTGCCCATAATTAGCACCGAGAACTGGAAGCCAGCCACCCGCACCGACCAGGTGGTCCAGGCACTGATAGCGCTAATTAACGATCCCGAGCCCGAGCATCCGCTGCGCGCCGAACTGGCCGAGGAATTCCTGAAGGACAAAAAGAAATTTGTGAAGAATGCCGAGGATTATACCAGGAAACACAGCGAAAAGCGTCCGGCCGATTAGTCCCATGGAGGCGAGGCGCCGGCGCCAAGCAACAGCAAACGCAGGCGATTAAACAAACCAAACTGAAACCAGGATGAGACACGGATTGAAGCCCCAATACAAACACACACACACACACACACACACACACACAGCCCCACACATGCATACGAAATTAACACAAATTTTGTTTAGAAGGAAAGATGGAAACTGCTCCACGGAGTCCCAGTTTATGCGAGTCTTGTCAAATTTGTATAAACTCGAGAAATATTTGTAGTAGAAATTAATTTGCATTAATTGTTTTTAAATACAAAGAAAAAGAAGAAAACAAAAGTTGAAATACAATATGTAAACAAAAATCTCATCTGTTAGAAACTTAAAAAAAAAAACGTATACATAATTAACACACGACGGCCGCAGTCTCTTTGATGCCAGGCACGGCATGTGCCTGATCCCGGCTCAAGCGCCTGGGGAACGCATCCTCACCCAGCATGCGCCGAAAGCAGGCCACCAGCACGCTGTTGTTGTACTGGATGAGCGCGTTGCTGAACTGATTCTTCTGCAGCTGCTGCAACGGCAACACGCTGTGCAGTGCATCCTGCGCCTCGTCCACATCGCTGCTCAGCACCTGCTGCAGTTGCTGCAGCTGCTCCAGTGCTTCTGCACTGGCCTCCAGCAGCGGCCCAGTCAGCGTTATGGTCTGCAGTGTGCCGCTGTTATCGAATTGGGTGTGCTCGAAGATGTGCTCGGCCAGCAGCAGGAGCACAGACGCCGCATAGTGGGTGAGAAACAGAAACTTGTGGAAGACTATTTTCGCCGGGCGTTGTGCCAGCAATGACTCAATTAGCATGACAAAGAAATGTCGTTGAACCTTATGAAATGTTGACTCATCATCGTCGCTGGCGGGTGCGTAATCTAACGTCTGCATATTGCTGTTGTTGCCATCGAAGAACAAGCACTTGGGCGCAGTTTGCCAGAGCGGATCAAGCTCGAAGGTGTCCAGAAGGCGCAAACGCAGCAGCAGCACCGGCTCCGATGCAAAGAGACTGCTCTGCAGTGCTCTCACCGGCGCGCCGCGGCACAGCTGCAGCTTGAGAGGCGCTCCGTGCGCCTTGACATGGCTGTAGCTGTTCGTGCCGCTGGGACACTTCTCCAGCTGATTGAACTCGCGTCGCAGGCAGTATATTTGTTTGAGCAGATCGCCCTGCTTGAGGTGCTCACGCTCCGTATAGGAGCCACCATAGACGGGCACCGAAAAGCCCAGCGCCTTGTTGATGTCCTGCTGCCTGACAATGCACAGTTCGTCGGCCAGCGGGCGCACCTTGTAGCGATTGTAGTACATGGAGGAGACGACGCCGCGCAGCTGATGCAAATGACGCAGATAGTAGCGATCCTTGGACTCGTACGCATAGATGCTGCTCTCGATTGCCTCCTCCTGCAGCTTCAGAAAGAGTCGGCAGCCGATATTGTGCTGCAGCAAAAAGTCGTTTGGTATTTGCGCCTTGCCAAACAGAGGCATGACCATGGCATCGTTGGGCTGTGCGAGCTTAGCTCGCATGGCCTTCAGCAGACGCGGCAGATCGGCTGCATCCTTTTGGTAGTTCAGGCAAATCACATAGACCTCCGAATTGCCGCGCTTCGATGTGGCCGGCTTGTAGATATGCACCCGCTGGAATACACAGTTCAGCATATACATGACCGAAACGCTGCATGCCTCGAACAGCGTAAACATTTTGATCACAAAATTGCCGCCCGTGCTCAGTATGCTGAGTGCACTTAGGATCTCAGCGAACAATAGATGCGCGACGATCTCCTCCTGGCAATCGGGCTGTGCCGAGCAATCGATTGAGCCATCTGCCGTGATTAATTGCACGCCCGCTGGGAAATCCTTGGCGCAACGTTCCGTCATGTGCTCTATGTTGGCCACATTAAGCAGATTGCCCGTGAAGTCCTTGTGGAAGAGCCAATTGTCCAGCGTGTGGAATATGAAGCGGTCGTCGGTTATCATCTCATTCAGTGCATTGCCCTCATAGTAGGGATTCAGGGTAGTGGAACGCCAGCGCCATTTGATCTGCAAGGAACTAGATAACATCTTTCTTCAAATACTATCTGTGCTCTAGATACCTCATCCTGTTTGTAGACCGAGTGCAGATAATGGTTCAGAGCGGCAACAAAGGCGCCCGGCGCCTCGCATAGGTGTAGACTATTCAGTTCCGGCTGGGTGACCAGTGGAAAACGATGCATGCACTCGAAGATCTTGCACCAAGCCACCTGTAGATCAAATAATAAGTTAATCAACATTTTATTTAAGTCTAAGACTCACGGTCACAAATTCGGCTTTTGTTTCGTTTTTGAGTCGCCAGGAGATCTCGCCCGACGGATCGCGGCGATTTGTGTGTGTGCTCCACTCCTGCACTCCATAATTGTTCAGTTTGCTCTTGATGCGATTCAACTGTTCCTTGAGCTCCTGCAGCGACTCGTACTGGTAGAATTCGCTGAAGAGCGGCTCTTGCTGTGGCAGCAACCAGGCGCTGGTCTTTGGCTTTTGATATTGGAACTTCTTTTCAAAGAGCTGTTCCACTTCCTCTCTTATGCTTAGCTTGGGACGCATATTTATTTAGGTTTCTTCAATTTAAGCAAGCAAAACTAATTCAACATGTTTTTTTTTTTCGCATAAACAGCGGTTTTAACAGCGCGTATAGCAGTAACATTTCAAGAGCTGTTATTAACAGCGCGTAAGAATAACAAAGTTATTTGTGGGTTAATATCATTAAGCAAATTAAGATATTTGCAATGATGCAATGGTGTAAGTTTATAAAGGCGTTTATATCTTATTTCTGCCGAGAGCTTTTTAAAACAGAAATTTTTGACAGGATGTTTCAATTTGAATTTAACAGTTTTCTAACAGCTATAAAACTATCGAAAGCTATCGGCACTATCGATACAGAAAGCGCATCTGCAACAGTGTTGTAAGCTAGCTGTAGTTTACCGAGCTGCGCAGATTATGGCTTACGTCTCCAATTCAAAACTCTGCCAGCGAGATTCTGTCTTCTTTGTTTTAGCTGTATAGTGGGTAAAGGTGATTGATTGTAATTATAAATATTTCAGTTCTTGGTGAGTAAAGACGCACAAGTTAGATAGCAGCTCATACTTTATTGCTTGAAATATCGTTTCGCTTAATATCGATATATCAACTAGAGTTAACAGAGCATAGTTATCGATAGCTTATATCAACCGCGAATTTGTTCGCATTTAAATTCAAATTATTCCAAAACTTTCAATTTGTATGCACTTTCGCTAGGCTATAAATGTAAGGGTTCCATCTCATAAAGCTTTATCGAAATGATTTGTGGTCTTTTATTTTACGAAAATATCTTTGTTTGCAAACTTTGAATGATTTATCCTGGAAGTTAGACTTTAAGTGCATAAGCAATATAATTAGTATAAGCTTATTGGGAATTTCTTTCTATTCGCTTTTCAAGATATTTGATAAATGAAGAACAAATGATGTCTTGTGATGTTCTGTTTTATATATTTTTGAAAGTACAAAAGAGTTTCTGGTTATTTCGAGTTTAAAACTTTTATCGAAATTGCTTTCCCAATTCATTTCCGGCTGAGTTAATGGGAATTTCTTGAGTTTTTTTTATAGGTGTTGCAATAGAAAAGAAAATAGCTTCCGTGCTGGTGGCAGCACATAAAAACATTTCTAAAACTGTGCCCAAAATATTAAATTGATAATTAAAGTAAATTTCCTTGACTCAGTTAGGCTAACCATAAAAAATAATGGAAATAAGTTGGGGCACAAAAAAAAAAGAGATATTATGAAACAATCATACGTAAAAGTATTTATGGGCAAATCGATGCATCGGCCTGTGCATATAAATCTGTGCATTAACTCACAATTTAAGTCAGCAACGGAAATAGAAAATATTGGACATAAAAAAAAAAACACACAGAAAAATAACGGTACTTTGGTAAGGGTAAGCCCAAATCTGAAAAGAAAAGGTTTTTGCTTTGGAAGCCAACCTAAAACGAGCAATACGAAAAACCTCTTTGAATCATTGCGATGATGTCTCGAACATTGGAATTCAAATTGTTGTCGTTTTTTTTTTTTTTCATATACTTTTTATATTTAACTTTTGGCTATATGGTCACTAAATCGGCGCGTGAGCTGCCGACTTTATAGCGAAACGTGCGTTGTGTCTATATGAATAATAATATTCAAATTCAAGAGCTGCATTTATTAAGTGAAACTCTCTCGGGAGGATTCTATAGTATATAGGAATGCGTATATAATGCAGACGAGACGCTCTTTTATGCATATATATGTGTATATATGTGCACATGTGTGTACATGTGTGTAAGTCGGGGCGCGACACGTGACTGTTTTATATAATTGGACATAAATACATATATGCAATGTGCTGCGATGGCTTCAACGATTCCAACTTCGAGAAGAAGCGATTGTCGAGGTAAGACTATCTGCTGGCTATTGGAGCCCAGCTCTATCTAAGCGCAGGTGTTTTGCGGCTTCTGCGGAAGTAACGCCTTCTGGCTAATGTGCAGGCGTGGCTTTAGGCCCTCTTTGGCAAATGCATTCAATTGGCTTTTGGCACCGTGGCGGCAAATTCCAATAAGACGGCGACTCGCTGACGCTGAGTCGGGTCGGACGTGTACGTGGACACGGCTTTTGTTGGCAACTCAATTTTATTTTAATTTCATATTTCTTTTCTCAAAAGGGAGTTCATTAATATGCCGGGCAGGCGCCATTGCGCTAAAAAAAAAAAAAAACAACAACAACGCTCAGCGTCAGCGTCAGCTACCTGCCACTGGCAGTCTGTACAGTAAACACACACACACACACGTACACGAACGTACGGGTAATCATGCTAGTGTGAGTGCACCCCCACTTTGGATAGGCATGCGACTCTGTGCGTGTGCGTGTGTGTGTGTGTGTATGTGTGTGCTGGCAACGGGTATCAATCCCCGTTTTAGACAACATTTGATTGTATTTGTTGCTTTAACTCTTTGAGCTGCACATCGCCGCACGCACACACACACACACACGCACACGCACGTAAATTGAAACTTCTTCAATTGTCGCTTTTGGGCTTCTAAACGTCGCCGTCGTCGTCGCCGTCGCCGTCGTTGTCGCCGCTATTTGCTCACTTTTAGTCCGGCCGAGGTGTGGTGCTAAGCTCGACTCAGGGCTTTAAAATCAGTTGCCAATTAGTCTTCATCGTTGACGGATTACAATTGCCGCTGCCTCAGCAACACACAAATTAAAAATGAAATAGAAAAACTTGTTAAGTGCTTGACGACAAAAAAAAAAAAGAAAAAAGAACAGAAATAAGAAAACAAGAAATTCATTGATAAAAAATAAGTTTCGTTCATGCGAAATTACAATAATAAATTTGGTAGCAATATTTTTGTCGTTTTGTTGTTGTTTTTCTTTTGGTTCAACTATGTTTATCCCTCGGCTCGCATCTGTTGTTCAATTGGCAAGATGTCGGCATAGCTGACGTTTGAAAGCGCATTTTTATAGCGCTATGCTGCATCTAGTCAGTTATTCAATGGAACAATCAACAAAACGGTGTTTCAATACTTCAATTTTTTGGAGATTTCGCTACTCGGAACATCTCAAGGGGATCGTCTGATGTTGCTCGTTTTTATTGTATTTAACTTTTCGTTAATTTTCATAATTTAGCTTTTATTGCAGCAAGGACAGAAGGCGTATTATAGACAGGATTATGGACCCACAGAAGGATAATAGAAAGACAATCAAGGAGAACTTTGAATAAAAGCTTTTTGACGCTGGAAATGTTTGCCTTACGAAATTTCTATTAAAACAAAACGTTTTTAAGGATTGCTACTTTTGAATGTCTTGAAGCTTAAAGTCCTTGAAAAGAAACCGTTATCTTAATCTCTTTTCTGAATTTAACATATTATTTATAACTTTAACAGGCTAAGTTAAAGATTGCTCAGCCTCTCTTGTTTATCCTTGCATAATATCAAATATAATATTTGGTGTATCTTTTTCTTTACAAATTAATGCAAAATAAATGTAAATACAATATCTAAATACAAATATAAAAAGAGTTTTTTGATTGCTACTAAAGTAAAACGAGGGCCGTGTGAAATGAATGTCACACATTTGTTGCATAATAAAACTAGTTTCATTTTGACATTTACAGCCAAAACATCGCTTGGCTAATTCGTCTTAGCTGCATAATAAGTAAAATACAATTGTTAAACGCAAACACTTTAGATGTAAACAGAAGAAAAAAAGTCCACAGACCAACAGACGCTAAGCTTATAAGCACACATCAAAACAGATTGGCAGCACCATTTTTAAACTTGCGCCCATTTGGCAGCGGCATTTTGCAACACTGCATTGCAATCGATACAGTGGTGATTTCTCGATAAGCTTTTATCGCTGAAAAAAAGTAAACAATTAGGTGAAGCAGATTAAGTAAAGCTGGATAATCTACATAAAGCATATATTTTAAGTAATGGACAGCCAGGTAAGTGTGTGTAAGCCACCAATGATATCTTTAGGAACAGCACCTATAACTGTCAAAGTGTTGTCGTCTATGAATACTTCACACAAATTAGTTGCGCCACACCGTTATCTGAAAGTGGCTTTGTGATAAATCTGCCTAAATACACACATAGTATGTACACATTAACAATAGACATTAAGGGCAGCGGGTCCCGCCAATGACGTAATTAACACGGCTGAGTGAACATTAGCTACAGTTATCAGGGCAATCGTAGTCAGTTTTTGGCGGATTCTTAGAGGGGCGTTTGCTGTATTTTTGCAGGCACCGATTGATGATCTATTATTGGACATTGTGGACAATGCTTGGCGCATGGAAGTGCTGCCGTTCGATCAAATATTAGTACCAATCGAAAAGCTGCCCGATCCCGAAGCCGACGGCGGTGATTCACACCTCACCCTAAGCGAACAGGTGAGCAATGCGCAACTTGATAAGATTTATGTTAAGTTCCTAAAATTTCATTTGCAGGAACAAAAGTGGACTGACTTGGCGCTCGGCTCTCTGGCACCGGACGCCGCTTTAATCGATCAACTTAATATAACAGCTATCTAACCAAGGACGAGCAGCCTACGTGTTAGCACGTCCCCAACGCTTCTTATACCACAAGTACTATTAATCACACCACAACATGAGTAGCAGCAGCAGCAGCAGCTGCAGCAACAGCAACAACAACAATAACAATGCCATACATCAACACCTGCATTCACCCAGTAAACTAACCGAATTCGCGCGCAATTTTGAGGATAAGCCGGAGTCGCTATTCGGACGCGTCGTCACAAAAATACAAAATGTCTATAATCAAAGCTACAATACGGTCAACGATATATCCAGCGGCGGCAGCAGCAGCAGCAGCAGCGTCCAGGTGGGCAAGTCCAAGTTCTATGGGGCAGGCGGCGCCGACATGGACGGCGACGCAAGCACACGCAATAGCCCAACATCCAGCTTGAACACAATTCGGCCGCAGCCACCAACAACGCTCAAGCTGCGCAAGAGCAGCGAAACGGCCAGCGGCGGCAGCAGCAGCACAACAACCGTCGAGGAAACGTGCGAGGCCAACGAGCGTGTCGATGAGCTGCCAGGTGAAGCGAATCAGGGCCGCACCGTGTCCAATGTGCTCAAGCACATCAGCA